TTTCTCAAGAATCTTATAATCACAGAATCTTAAAAACTGAGTGCCAGATTTAATCGATTGTTACTTATTGCCTGCAACACCATGTTAAGAATATTACAGAGACTCTATCTCAGCTCAATGGAAAACGAGTACCATTATTGATTTTCGATGTCTGCCAGGAACAGAAGAAAGTGATGCCATGTGCCATGTTTTAACCCCTACTGTAATTTCATCTAAGTCTTTCATTTTATAAAATTAGATCTGAGACCAGAGAGTTAAAGGCTAGCCAAAGTCACACTTCCAGCCTGTAAAAGGTATTTTACCTTCTGTGTATGGTACATAAAATATACTCTATATCCTATACAGTCCTTATATTCAGGAACTAATTCTTTTTTTTTTTTTTTTTGAGATGGAGTTTTGCTCTCGTTACCCAGGCTGGAGTTACCCAGGTTGCGGCACGATCTCGGCTCACCTCAACCTCCGCCTCCTGGGTTCAAGCAATTCTGCCTCAGCCTCCCGAGTAGCTGGGACTACAGGCACACGCCACCATGCCCAGCTAATTTTTGGATTTTTAGTAGAGACGGGGTTTCACCATGTTGACCAGGATGGTCCTAATTCTTATTCAACTTCAAGCCAGTCCACGAAACCATAACAACTTCAAGTCCTGGCAAGAGAATGTATCCAATTATTCACTAAATAAAAAACCATATTACAAAGTAATCTCAGAGTAGCAGCAAAGGAAGATCATTGATGGTATAAATGCTTAATGGTCAAAAGAAATGTGTACAAACAAATGTAATCATATTACTTTCAAGAACCGGAACCTAAACTGATAATGGTTTCTAGTAAGTGGTCTCTTCAGACTGTATTAATCAATATATAAACGCCACTGGTAATGCAGCCTGTTCAAAAAATAAAAGTTAAAATAAGCCATTTAATAGCTCTTCTGACATAAAAATGTTAGGTAGGTTTTGCAAAGCATACCAAAAGGGATCAGTGGGTCAGAGTTTAGACAGTCCCAAGAGAAAGGAATGGGAACTACAAGAGAAAGGAATATCAACTACATATGTACTACGTGCCTGGCACTGTACACTGCTGTCTCATAGCTGTAAAGGAAATTAATATTATTTCGATTTTTCTGATGAGGAAACTGTGGTCTTGAGTAATAGCCCAAGGCCAGTACCTAGCTGTAGCTGTAAGGTTAGTATACAACACCATTAGGATTTGGACACAGAACCTATTTGACTCCAAATTGAATGCTCTTTCCCAACAAAGAAAAATGTTTCTGCAATAAAAAAATTATCCTCACAAACCTTAAAGGACAAAAAACTGATTAGGACTCTACTAAATTACAAATAACTGATCATGAAAAGAAATCACAAATTCGAGTTAAAAAAAACACAAGTGAGAATTGTTGCAACTCATATAATCCACAAAGGATTAATAGGTAATGTACATACAGAACTACAAATCAATAAGATAAATGGGTGAAAGACGGAACAGGTACTTCATAAAGGGAAGAACCCAAATGGCTAATGATGTAAACAGACATTCAACATCCCTAAATAATCAGAGAAATTGTAAATAAAAATCACAATGAGATAACATTTGACTGGACAAGATTTTCAAGCCTGGTAAATGAAGCACTGGCAAGGTTGTAGAACAACTTAGAGCTGGTGGGAACACAATCAATAGTATCACTTTGTGAAAAACAACTTGGCATTCTCTACTAAGACTGACGATGCACATGCCCTGTGATCCAGAAAATTTCACTCCCTACAGAGAGAAAATGGGTGTGTGTGTGCCTCCACATATGTACCAAGAGCCATGTACAGAAACCACTCACGGCAGTCCAAAAAAACTGGAATCAATCCAAATCTCCATCTAGAGTAAAATGATAAATAGATCACGGTAGAATACTATATAGCAGGTGAAAATGAATGAAATACAGCCATGAAATGGATAAACCTTGGGAATAGAATGTTAATCTAAATGTGAGTCAGTAAAATACATAATCTCCTTGATATAAAGTTCAAAATCATACACAATCAAGATTTTTTAAAAAGGATAAGCCATAGAGAAGGGAATGATAAGCACAAAGTTCAGGATAGGGGTTCTTTCAGATGGGATGACTCTGAAAGTATGATAAGGCTCATCTTGAACTAGGTGGTGGCTGCCTGAGTGTCCACTGGTTCATGATTCTTTTTTTTTTCTGAGATGGAGTCTCGCTCTGTCACCCAGGTTGGAATGCAGTGGTGAGATCTCAGCTCACTGCAACCTCTGCCTCCCCAGTTCATGTGATTCTCTTGCCTCAGCCTTCTGAGTAGCTGGGATTACAGGTGTCTGTCATCACATCCAGATAATTTTTGTATTTTTAATAGAGATGGGATTTCACCATGATGGTCAGACTGGTCTTGAACTCCTGACCTCAAGTGATCCACCTGCCTCAGCATCCCAAAGTGCTGGAATCACAGACAGAAGCCCAACCAGTTTAAGATTCTTTAGCATATATTTTAGGAATATTATTTTGTACCTATCAATTACTTGATTCAAAAAATATCTCTAAGAAAAGACTGGACCAGAGGGCAGGACATTGATTATATCAGATGACAGACAGTAAGATGCCAGAGCAGAGAAGAGGGAGCAGAGGGGACCATCTGCTCAGGGGTTAGCTTCCTAGGCTCCAGCTCTGACATCTCAAAACCAATGAATGCCTTCTTCTTCCAGAGGGGGAAAAACTGTTTTGCAACTTTAGAGGTGTTTTACAAAAGAACCTAAAACACTAATTAATCTAAATAAACCATAGTATAGGTTTATTTAGGACTCTTCCACCAAAATTAAAGAACAGCTTTATAAAATAATTTTATATTAAATAATTTACAGTGAGTGCCTCGCTTTTTTCACCACTGTCAAGAAAAAAAATGTGCTGATACTTCAGCAAAAATTAAAAGGAAAATACAAGAAGGAAACTTTTGATATTGAGGTCCCTGTGCTGAAGGAACAGAATAGTTTCTTTATTTAACGTGCATACAACTAACTTAAAGGTCTTGTTAGAATGCCAATTCCAATTGGCTGAGTTCAGAGTGGGGCCTAAGAATCCTACACAATAAAAATTTAAATATAATTACAAGTGTTACCAGAAAAATCAGAGTACTAAACTAGGTCTTTTTAAAAAAAAAAAAAAAAAAAAAAAAGGTGCTCTGAGTAAAAGCAAAGACTAAAAACTTACAAGAAAAATCCATGAGATGCTTTACTCACTTCCACACACCTACCAAGCTCGCTCTTCTAACAGGGGTAGCTAGCCCTTTCCTTACGGACGAATGGTTTGCATTCTCGATAGTGTAGTGAAAGAACCAGGGCTACCATAGGGAGATCCACAGAACATTAAATAAAGCCGAATTATGACTAGTATGAAGATACTAGTCAGGGTGCAACATAATTAAAGGAGCATCATGTCACTGCACGTAAAAATAGGCTTTAAAATGTTCTATAAGAATATGTTATTAAAATAAAAAGCTTAAAATTATTTCAACAAAGCCACATTGAATGATTTCCACTAATCATGTCTATGTTTGTTTAGTAGTAGTAAAATCTTTCCACATCAAAATAGTACGTCCACACATAAAATCATACATTCATACATCAATACAAAGCAATCAGTCTACAAACTCTTTCAAGAAACTCTGCCAATGCCAAGCCTCTGCTCAGGATGTGTCACAAGTAGAGTGAGGTCTTCTCATTTGCTCTACAACATCACAGATAGTTGTTACTAGTCTTGCCCAAGAGAATCTCTTCACAGAAAACCTCAACTGTGGGAGATGACCAAGTGACAGCAGTTCCTTCACTGCCCAATACTTCTCCTCTCAGAGGAAGGTTTTGGTCACTCCAGCAGCAACAGAGTTACAAACAGCTTAACCCAACAGAATTCCGCACCTGGTGTTTAAGTCAGAACAGCTAAACCTCCTGTGACATCAACACAGGATATTTCTTACAACAAAGTAAATCCAAAACGTCTGGATGATCCATGGAAACAACATTCACAAAAATCTTTACAAAACACGATTTTATACAACCAGCACAACAATGAAGCCCAAATCCAAAAAGTCCCATATTTTAATGGCTCTCTATTAGAGAAACTCAAAATAATGCACATAAACCACACGATGTACATGCAGTGCTATTCTGCAGAGCCACATGAAATTAAAAACCACTAACTTAGATTCATTAGAAATTTTTAAAAATACAAGCAGGCACGCCCTTGGCTTGCAAACACTGAGCTCCCCTTCTAGCTAGCATACTGAAATTTCCTTTTTCACCTACACATTTTAGAAGAGCCTGGGTTGATATTTGAAGTCTATCCCATTTGCCATCCCACACTGAATAAATGAATTATAGAAATGGCATTTAGAAGGGAAATTCCCTGTGTCCTGGCCGAGACTAAACATGAGAACCATCTCCTACTGACTAGATACCAGTCAAGAGGCCTTGGTGCTCTGCACCTCTCCACCCACTCCGCAGTCACAGCTGTGAAAACATGTATACAAAAAATGCATATAAACAAACATAAATGTAGTCTGTTACTGTCATAATCCCATTAGTTATGCCTGGACACTTAACTCCACTATCTGAATCAACAGAAATCTGAATATCAATTTACCCTACATCATGACACTCACACAGCGAGTCATCCTTAATAAAGCATCCAAATAATGCAATTGTACTTGACTTACTTGCAAACGATGAAAACAAAACAAATACACGCCAAAGGAATCATTTACTGTCCATTAAAAATATAAATATCTTTTAAAACAACCTGAATTTCAATGTCAGTGACATAAAACTAAAATACACTAATCATTTCATTTAAAAAATGGTTTCCTATAGAAAAAATGCACACTTGGTATTAACCAAAGACGGACGAGGTACTATAATGTCACAGTTGTGAAGGTCCAATTAATAAACACCAACTTTCCACGTAGAAAGAAATCAGTGTGTAGCTGGGCTATGGTTACAGATTATGGATGATCCACAGAAAAACGCTGCGATTCCCCACACTGACTGCACCATTGCCTCTGCACACGACTGGGCCCGGTCCTTCCTGCTGCCCCTCCCTAAGGCTCAGGTCCGCTGGTGGGAGATCAGATTCCGATCTGCATCCGCAGGCCGGCTCCCCTCTGCCTGCATTGGTGCTGCAGGGCGCCCCTCCGGCGGAACGCAGCCCAACAAGAGGTGCAGGAGGGATCATCCCAAAAGAGAAGACTCTCCCCCGCTCACACCTGGGTGACCTGGTCCTCCTGACGCCACATCCAGCTGAAGCTGAAAGACAAGGTAGCAGCAGCTCCAGGCCTTGGCCAAGGGCAGCCCCGGGCCTGGGTGGGGCCGGGCGGGGGCCGCAGGCGCCGAGCGGCCGTGCCAAGCCCCGCCAGCGAGAACCGAGGAAGCTGCGATACTGCTGCATTGTGCTGCATCACGGCGAGGGCACCGTGAGCCATCCATCTTGCCAAAAAAGCACATCCCCGCCCAAATAAACCCCACCGAATTAGTTTTTCTCCTCCGCCGAAGCACCCCCACACTCACCCTGACCTCACTATCTGGCCTGGCTTTCCACTGGAAAAATAATGGACAGAGGCTTGTGTTCTGATCCCCACTCCCTCCCCATCTGATGGCAGCTCTTGGCACCTTTCCTATCACAAAAACAAAGAGAAGGCTCCCCCCAAGAGGGCCGTGGGCGTGGTGTGGGGGGTGATGACGAGAGGAGCTTCCAGCCCACGTCCCTAAGCCAGGCCCGGAGGGTCCCCGCGCAGAGACAAACCTGTTGAAGAGAGGGTGCGGGAGCTGAAGGGCCGGAGCAGCGGCGGCTCGGCGCCCCGGAGGCGGCTCACGCCCAGCCCTGGGAGAGTGGGGACAGCAGGGAGGGCGGGGGGGGGCGGGCGCAGGGGGGTAGCGAGCGCGGGGAGGGGGCGGGGGTGGGACGCGGGGCCGCCGCCTCCCGCTCAGCTGCAGCGCGGCGCAGCCGGGACCACGCCTGGCCGCATCCTCGGCACCGCTAGGCGCAGAGTCCGGCCCTGTCACCGCCGCCCCCACTCCCCACCCGCGGGGCCACAGGGAGGGCACCTGAAAATAGACCCTCCGGCTGCCCGCTCCGCACCCACCTTCGCCCTGGGCCCACGGCGCCAGGGTGTAGACAAGCGGCGGCGGAGGCACGGAGGAGGAATCGCCGTGCCGGGGCTGGGGCCGGGTAGCTGCGGTGCGCAAGGCGGGTCTGCTGCCGCCTCACCGCAGAGCCTGCCGCCCCTCGCCCCGCATCACCCGAGTACCAATGAGCACCCGCGACCCGAGCTCCCCGCGCCGCCCCCACCCGGGCTCTGCAGACTCCCAGCCCCCACGCGACTCCCCGGGCGATGGGCAGGCGGGCATCGGCGTCCTCCGGCCCTGGGCCCGCGCCCCTCCTCCCGCCCGTCCGCCGCCGCGGAGCCCGCCCGGGAAGCAGCCCCAGTGAGCTGGCATCTCCCTGCCTCGGGTCCCCTACCTACCTCCGGGGATGGGGTGGGGGCGCCGGGGTCCCGTCCTCCTCCCGCTCCTCGGCGGCCGGGCGGGTAGGCCGGGAGGCGACTCCGCGGGTCTGTCCGCGGCTGGGGCCGGGGCTCACAGGACGGGACCAGTGGGCGCTGCTGCGCAGGGCTGCGCGCTCGCTCCGGGAGGAGAGGCGGCCGAGGGAGGGACTGGAGGAATCCGCAGCCTGCACGGCAACAGCTGCACTGATTCCGGGGGCTGGGCGGGAGCGCGGGGGGCGGGGGGAGGAGGGGAGGAAGGGAGGACGGCGCTGGCAGGGAGGGGGCGAGGGGCGGGGAGAGGAGAGGAGCGCGCGGGGCGGGCGCGCGCACTCGCGGGCTCCCTCCCGCACGCCCTCCGCCCTCCTCCCTCCCGCCGGCTCCCTCGGCTTCGCCGGCCCTGTCCTCCCGCCCCGAGCCCCGCAGCCTCCCACCCGGCGCTCGCTCGGCCAGGGAGCCGAGCCACAGGCGCGTCCACGTCCTCTCCAGTGGAGGCTCTTCCCCCGCCCAGTCCGGACCTCATCCTCCCAGCGGCGGGGACCGACCGGGCTGGCCGTGGCCGGGTGGGCACTGCTGCTGCTGCTACCCGAGCAGGACAATAGGGGCTTTGTCCCCACAGCCGGAGAGGGCCAATTTCACGTTTAATTTGAGGCTAATTCGATTATCGCCAAGGAAAGAGGCGGCCTAATTTTCTACGTGACTTGTGCAGCCTCTTTTCGCCCTTGATGTTGCGTTTGGAATGCGGGGGAGAGAGGGTGTTTAGGGAGGTTTTGGAGCGTCGCTTGCTTCGTTGATTTGAGATGCAGGTGGTGATGCCTTATAGGTTCTGCGCAGCTTGGAGAAGGGCGACGGCGACCTCTTCGTGGGAAACCTTGGGCGCTGGAGGGTCGGGGGATGGGGTCGTTCCTTGGTGAGGTTAATGTGTTCTTCCTTTGTGAATGCTTTTTCACCCACCCTTTCGCTGTGCGTAGCTGGGAGCAGACCCTACAAGTGGTTCATCCAACTCCTGCTTGTCCCAGCGCAGGCTCCGCTCGAACCTGAGGCCAGCTGCTCTTGCTCAGTCACTCCCAGGAGTGGGGTCGTCTGGCCGCGGTGGAAGATCCCGTGATGGCTTGGGGACTTGAGTTCTCCCCTCTGCGTATTCCCCGAAACGGAAACTGGACGTTTCCTCGAATTTTTGTCCTGTCCCAGTAGCCCTTCCCAGTCACCTGGCCCCTCAGGCTGTGTAGAAATTCCACAACTGTCGCTAGTGTGAATAAAAGATGGTAGAATCACCAGGACCACGAAAGGAAATGCTCTTTAGAAAACGGTTTGAAGAAACTGACTTTCTCCTTGCTCTGTAAGGTGCCCAAGGCGGCACTGTGGGCTTTCAGAGGGAAGAGGGCCCTTCCAGGCTGAAAAAGCCCCAGGGCTTTTCCTCATAAAGACCCTTGATCACCTGGATTAAAACAAAACCAAAAAACCAAGGCAAATAGTTTGGATCATGTTTATATCTCAGATCACTAGCACCTGGCCTGATGGGTTTATATGTTTGTATGTATTTTTAAATGAATATTTAAAAATAAAACTAAGTGAAATTGTCACAGCAAACTGAAGATGATTCTTCCTTTTAGGCCTTCATCAGTTTGAATGTTTGTACCCATGTTTACTTCCGATAGATATGAAAAAAAAATTGAGGAAGGCAAATAACATTTTTTCTCAGAAGGTGAATCAACACAACCAGACGGTAAACTCTAAGGGTAGGGTTCTTTTTTCTTCACTCTGTACACAGCAGGCACTTTAAAACTATTTGTTGAATTAAACAGAATCAACTTATAAGCTGCTGCCTTCATTAGGTAATAAGAAAAATCCACTAAAAAGCAAAATTGTTTCCCTTTCACTTACTTATTTTTTACTATGGACCCCAGCACCTCCCTACCCACTATGTTAATGAAATACCAAAGAAAACAGTAACTATTTGGGAAATGCATCCATTTAAGTTAATTCTTCCAATGTTATTCTGAAATGGTGACTCTTAAATAATTTCTTTATCACAGACAATGGTACTTAAATAAATTTTCATTTGATGGATGATTCACCTCCTCTAACCCATTCCACTCTCACTTACGTTGTTTTTTAAATTTCCTTAAAAAAAAAAGGCGGGGTCCACACACAACCTTAGCAAGGTACTCTAGTAAAGCACCAGTAATTATTCCAAAAATGTGGAAGACGAGGATTCAGAGTCCCAGTATGTATACCTGCCTCGTAATTTTGAAGTATTACCCTTAAGTGCAAAAAATCATGCTGGAGAACTCAGAGTACCAATGACCACAAAGAAGTAACAATTCAAAGAAAAGATAGTACAATTGGAAAGATTATTGGAGAAGACATCTTTATGGAAGGCAAAAATCTAAAAATGATGAAAAGCCTTAGTCAGTGAAAACAGCTCAGAAGGATTATTCCCACATATCTCAGAAACAGCTTTATTGAAGTTTCTTCTCATATTAGAATCAGGATTGATTTAAAGGAACCTGGAAGTCTACATGTTTGTAACATACTACTCTCCATTTTAAAAACATGTGATTACATATGACTTTGTCTCCCATCAAAATACTTTATTACACAATTTTTACAGATATAAATTGTCATTTTATCTTTCTATTCAAAATGTAGGGGAAGGCTGGGCACAGTGGCTCATGCCTGTAATCCAGCACTTTGGGAGGCCTAGGTGGGTGGATTACCTGAGATCAGGAATTCAAGACCATTCTGGGCAACATGGTGAAACCCTGTCTCTACTAAAAATAAAAAAATTAGCCAGGTGTGGTGGTGCGTGCCTGTTATCCCAGCTACTCGGGAGGCTGTGGCAAGAGAATTGCTTGTACCTGGTAGGCGGAGGTTGCAGGGAGCCGAGATCGTGCCACTGCACTCCAGCCTAGGCAACAGAGCCAGACTCTGTCTCAAAAAAAAAAGTAGGGAAAATCTTGTTTACATATATTAGTAACTATAGATTATGTTATGATGCTATAGCACACACTTCCTAAAACAATATGACACACAAGTCCCCCAATCAACAAAGGTTAATTTTTTGCTTAACAAAAATCAACTGTGGTTCTAAGACACTCCAAGGGAGCTGTCTTCCATGTGTCACTTCAGCATTCCAGAACACTTTAATATTATGGTACCTTCAGGTCAGTGGGTGTTTGTACAGTTTCCATTGTAAGGGAAGGGTGTGATGGAGAGTGAAATACCAGCAACTAAGTACTTGCATCCAGAAATGACACAAGAATACCTCTCCCAACACTTCATTTGTGAAAGCGAGTCATATGGCTACACCTGAAATAGATATTGATAAACAACAGTATTGTCTGCTACAACCTGTTTTATTTAGAAAAGAGAATGATACTGTAAGTATTCTCATGATTATATTATATTAGCCCAATTAGAACCCATCTTTTTCTTTGTTTTTGTTTTTGTTGAGACAGGGTTTCGGTCTTGTTGACCAGGCTGAAGTGCAATGGCACCAATCTCAGCTCACTGCAACCTCCACCTCCCAGCTTCTACCAATTCTCCTGCCTCAGCCTCCTGAGTAGTTGGGACTACAGGCATGTGCCACCACGCCCAGCTAATTTTTTTGTATTTTTAGTAGGGATGAGGTTTCACTATGTTGGCCAGGCTGGTCTTGAACTCCTGACCTCAGGCTATCCACCTGCCTCCGCCTCCCAAAGTGTTGGGATTACAGACGTGAGCCACCGCGCCCAGCCCAGAACCCATCTTTTATTGTACTGATAATAGCCTAAAACTTTAAAATCAGAACATATTTTGAAAACAGGAATATGTTTTTAAAATTCCTATTTACTCCTAAACTTGACTTCCTTTTAGCCCTTAACTAGTCTAGAAAATTTCCTCATATTTAAAATATTTCATTTGGGAATTCACATGTTTTAATTTTGCACTTGAAAAACATAAAGACATATGTAAATTGACATTATCATATTTATACTTTTTAAGCACTAATAACATATTCACTCATACATAAAGTAATGTATTCTTTCCTTATTTAAGGCCAGGTGAGGTGACTCATGCCTGTAATCCCAGCACTTTGGGAGGCCAAGGTGGGCAGATCACCTGAGATCAGGAGTTTGAGACCAGCCTGCACAACATGGAGAAACCCCGTCTCTACTAAAAATACAAAAATTAGCTGGGTGCGGTGGTGCATGCCTGTAATCCCAGCTACATGGGAAGCTGAGGCAAGAGAATCACTTGAACCTGGGAAGTGGAGATTGTGGTGAGCTGAGATTGCGCCATTGCACTCCAGTCCGGGCAACAACAGCGAAACTCCATCTCAAAAAAAAAAAAAAAGAAAAGAAAAGAAACCGAAACACCTTATATTCTTCCCGGCCCTGAAATAGAGCAATGAGTAAAATAATTTTTAAAAATCACTACTTTCATGGATCTTCCATTCTAGTAGGGGATACACTCAATCAATAAAAAAGTAAAAGATGTGTGTAATGATAAATCTGAGTAGAAGGTAATCTAAATGTATAACAATAATATTGATAAAATGATCACAATAAATGGTTCCAGCTTTCTATAAAGGATCTTCACATTTTCTCTGTTAATAATAATGATTATACATAGCAAACATAAAATGCTTTCCAGTTTTTAAAATGCTTTATCAAATATTATCTTATTTTGTCCTTTTGCCAGTTCTGTGGGATAAATATTAACCCCATTCTGTGGATGACCAAACGGTCAAATGAGTTGCCCAAGTTCTCACATCTAAGTTAAGTGCCAGAAATATCTTAGGAGCTAGTGTATCAGAGCTGGATACCTGGGCATTGCATATCAATCATTAAAGCATAACTCCATTTTGCAAGATGAAGAAAGTTCTGGAGATGAATGGTGGCGATGGTTGCACAACAATGTGCATGTACATTGCCACTAAACTGTACTAAAATGGTTAAAATGCTAAGTTTTATGTTATGCATATGTTACTTTTTTAACCATTCTGAAAATTCTGTTTTGTTTTTTTTTTTTAACTTTTATTTTGGGTTTGGAGTATATATGTAGGTTTGTTATACAGGTAAACTCGTGTCATGGGGGTTTATTATACAGATGATTTCATCATCCAGGTACTAAGCCTAGTACCCAATAGTTATTTTTTCTGATCCTCTTTCCTCCTTCCAGTCTCCACCTTCGAGTAGCCCCAGTGTCTCTTGTTCTCTTCTTTGTGTCTGTGTGTTCTCATCATTTAGCTGCTGCTTATAAATGAGAACATGCACTATTTGGTTTTCTGTTCCTGGATTAGTTTGCTAAGGATGTCAGCCTCCAGCTCCATCCATGTTTCTGCAAAGGACCTAATTTTGTTCTTATTGTGGCTGCATGATATTCCATGGTGTATATGTACTACATTTTCTTTATCTGGTCTACCATTGGTGGACATTTAGGTTGATTCCATGTTTTGGCTATTACTAATATTGCTACAGTGAATATACATGTGCATGTGTCTTCATGACAGAATGATTTCTATTCCTTTGGGTATATACCCAGTGATTGGATTGCTGGGTCGAATGGGCATTCTGTTTTTAGCTCTTTGAGGAATCGCCACACTACTTTCCACAATGGTTGAACTAATTTTACACTCCCACCAACAGTGTAAAAGTGTTCCTCTTTCTCTGCACCAGCACCTGTTATTTTTTGACTTTTTAGTAACAGCCATTCTGACTGGTGTGAGATGGTATCTCACTGTGGTTTTGATTTGCATTTCTCTAATGATCAGTGATATTGAGCTTTTTTATATGCTTTTTGACCAAATGTATGTCTTCTTTTGAAAAGTGTCTGTTCATGTCTTTCGTCCACTTTTTAATGGGCTTTATCAATTATTTATTTTCTTGTAAATTTGTTTAGGTTCCTGATAGACGCTGGATTTTTAGACGTTTGTCAGATGCATAGATTGCAAATATTTTTCTCCCATTCTGTAGGTTGTCTGTTTACTCTGTTGATAGTTTTCCCGTGCAGACGCTCTTAGTCATTAGAAAAATGCAAATCAAAACCATTGTGAGATACCACTTCACATCCACTAGTATGGCTTTAATTTTATTTAAAAGATGGAAAATAGCAAGCTTTGGTAAGAATGTGGAGAAATTGAGAGCCTAGTACATTGTTGGTGGGAATGTAAAATGTGCAGGAGCTGTAGAAAAGTTTGGCAGTCTGTCAAAAAGAAGAACCTAGAATTACCATGTGACCCAGTAATTCCATTTCTAGGTATAGGCCCAAAAGAATAGAAAACAGGTATTCAAATACCTGCACACTAATGTTCTTAGTAGCACTGTTCACAATAGCCAAAAGGTGGAAACAACCCAAATGTCCATCACCTGATGGATAGATAATGCGATGAAAATGTGGTACATAGGCCGGGCACGGTGGCTCAAGCCTGTAATCCCAGCTCTTTGGGAGGCCGAGGCGGGTGGATCACAAGGTCAAGAGATCAAGACCGTCCTGGTCAACACGGTGAAACCCCGTCTCTACTAAAAATACAAAAAATTAGCTGGGCACAGTGGCGCGTGCCTGTAATCCCAGCTACTCAGGAGGCTGAGGCAGGAGAATTGCCTGAACCCAGGAGGCGGAGGTTGCGGTGAGCCGAGATCGCGCCATTGCACTCCAGCCTAGGTAACAAGAGCGAAATTCCGTCTCAAAAAAAAAAGAAGAAAATGTGGTACATCCATACAATGGAACATT